GTTGCTGGAAAATGCACCCTCTCACCCCCTGTATCAACCCTTTATTTTTTTTTAAATTACTTCCCCCTTTTTTATTTTATATTTGGATTCTCCTTTTTGTACTGATTTCAAAAATGTATAATACCTTTGGCTTGAAGTGATTAGTTTATCAGATAGACAATTTTCCTGTTAACAAGACAGTATCACCCTCACCTTAATTGACTCTAACAAAATAGGTTGTAGCATAATTTAAACTCTTTAAATATTTAACCGTACTATTTGTAGTACCTTCAAAAACCAAGAAACAAAAAAATCACTTTTTATTCAAGTTTTATCAAAGATTTTCGATATCATTTTTACATTTGTTTTAATCGGTTAATAGCGACAATTTGTTATAGCTTGTAAGTAACAGCTTATTTTGATACGTGTGCAATTTGATCGCTGAAATGGTGTACACTTTGCAAGAAAGAATCGAAATTGTAGGTTTATACTACAAAAATAATAATTGTGCAAGAGCTGCTGCTAGAATTTTTAATGAAACACACCACAATAGACATGCAACTCATAAGTGTGTGATTGAACTGATGCAGACAAAAATTAGAGCAAGAGGGTCAGTTTGCAATAAAAAACATAATCGACAGGAACTTGTAAATAAAAAAGCAATCCAAGTAGCTGTTTTAGGGCAAGTTAACTTAGACTCTTAACAATCACAGTCACTGTCAACAATAAGCAGAACAATCGGTGTTTCATCTTCTACAGCCTTCCGAGTCCTCCATAAATTTAAGTTTTATCCATATAAAATTAAATTAGTACAAGAGTTAAATGAAGAAGATTTTGATCGTCGTCCCGAATGTTGCGAATTAATGATACAATGCATCATTAACAATCCACAATTGTTAAACAATATTTGCTTCTAGGATGAATACTCATTCTCATTAAACGGTTTGGTAAACAGATATAATTGCCGATACTGGGCTGAGAGTGATCCAAATATTGTACGCACAGCATCCTCAAAAGTTAAACGTATGGTGTGGTATCCTACGTAATCACATTATCGGACCCTTCTTTATCACTGGAAACTTAAATGGTGCATCGTATCTTGAATTATATAGGCAAGTGGTTGATCGTTAGAACAATAGTAGAAAATGATGATAACCTTTCCGATGATTTGGTTGTATTTCAACATGATGGAGCTTCTCCACACTTTGCTTTACCTGTGCGATAATTTTTAAACGAAACGTTTCCCGGTCCTTGGATAGGTAAAAGACGACAGATGATCGACTGGCCACCTAGGTCACCGGATTGAACACCCCTAAACTTCTTCTTATGGGAGTATTTAAAAACAAAAATTATGCTACTCAACCAGAATATCTAGATGATTTACAACAAAGAATAGAGGATGAATGTCGACAATTAAATGCAGACGTGTTAAGCAATGTCAGAGAAGAATTTCAAAATAGATTGTACTATTGTATGGAAGTGAAAGGCAGTCATTTTGAACAATTATTGTAAAAATTTTTAGTAGTGAAATGTTTGTTCTAAATGTGTGTAATAAAATTGTTAAAGAATAATTTTTTTTTTCAATCCAATTTTCTTGCTTTTGTATTTACTTTTCTCATAAACTAATCACTTCAAGTATCATGTATTATACATTTCTGAAATCAGTACAAAAAGGAGAATTAAAATATAAAATAAAAAAAGGGGGAAGTAATTTCAAAAAAAAATAAAGGGTTGATACAGGGGGTGAGAGGGTGCATTTTCCAGCAACCTTAAATATGATAATATGCCTCCTCCTTCAGATATTAATTGAAGTGTTTTTGCATTTTTCCAAAAGATTAGAGGTTCAAAAGTTATTAAAGGTGGATAGTTTTATCTGAAAAGCACTATATATATATATATATATATATATATATATATATATATATATATATATATATACAGTCAAAATCGTTTACAACGACACCGGCTATAACGTACAATCGGATATAACAAACAAAATAGTAGATCCCATAAAATGGCATACAAAAAACGCATTTATATTGCTTATAATGAACAAATCGGTTAGAGCAAACGTATTTCTTGGAACACTAGTAGTTAAAATATTGGTTACAGCGTACATCTTAATAAATAAGTTTAAAAGTGCTATCCTGTTATGAAAATGGACATTGTAGTGTTGTATTTCTCACAGGTATTACCGATATTTAATACCACGAAATGAGAAGTAAGAATTTATTAATTTATGGTTATAGTACATCCGGACAGGCATCTACTTGTCCTTTAGACAGTTAGACCTCCCAAGACGGGTCCATTGTATTACAAAATTTTGTTTATACATATTTCACCATTTGGCCTAAGCCAAAAGTTTCTGAATTTGAATTTAGTTGTGTCTAGCCTTCATTGAAAAAATGTCACTTAAACAATTTACCATTGAGGAACAGTTTGGAATAATTTGCCGAGTCGATTCCGGTGATTCCGCGAGTTCGATTGCCCGGGAATTTAAAACGTCACGCTCGACAATTGCTGGAATAATGAAAAGGCGAGAGAAAATTATTAAGCAATTTAATAAGTGTGAAAAAGGAAAACGCGTTCGGTCATCAAATTACAGTGACATTGAAAGTGCTTTGCTCGATTGGTTTAAACAACAACGCGCAAACAATGTACCCGTGAGTGGGCCGATGCTTCAGGTAAAGGCTGATGCTTTCGCTGTGATTTTGAAGAAGACTTTTAAGTGTAATGCTTCCTGGGTTCAACGTTTTCGAGCTCGCCACAATATTGTCCATGGAAAAATTTCAGGTGAGTCAGCAGTTGTTGACAGATCAATTATAAATGACTGGGTTGAAAATGTGTGGCCTACACTCAGGTCCGACTATAGCGATGATGAAATTTTTAATGCTGACGAGATGGGGTTATTTTTTAGACTGACACCTGATCACACGTTAAAGTTTAAAGGCGAGAAATGTTCCGGTGGTAAACTCTCAAAAGAGCGTGTTACAGTTCTTGTTGCAGCCAACATGTCTGGTTCCATAAAAAGGAAGCTTTTGGTGATAGGAAAAAGTAAAATGCCGCGCTGTTTTAAAAACGTGAAAAATCTCCCTGTTGATTATGATTTCAATAAAAAAGCCTGGATGACGTCAGCTATTTTTGAAAAGACTTTACTAAAATGGGACAGTGAACTTTTACAACAAAAGAAACACATAATTTTAATTGTCGACAACTGTCCATCCCACCCTCCAGTTGACAGGTTAAAACAAATTAAACTCGTTTTTCTGCCTCCAAATTGTACGTCTGTACTGCAGCCCATGGACCAAGGAGTTATAAGAAGTCTTAAAGCATGCTTTCGGAAAGAATTGGTGTACAAAATCATCGAAAAGAGAGAGAATAACGACGATACGAAAGTCAGTATTCTTGACGCTGTACTAATGATATCAAAGGCATGGGAATCTGTGCGGAAGGAAACGATCATCAACTGTTTTCGTTTTTCCGGCCTAACTAAAGACTTACAACCATCAGGAATCGCATACAACGATATTGCACAAACGCATTTGCAGGATGCCATTTCCCTTTTCAGTTCTGACTGCTCTGCAGATGACTATGTACGAGTAGATGACGAAATAAGTACGAGCGAAGAACTCTCAGATATTGACATCGTACTGAGTCACCAAACTAGTGACAAACAAAGTACTGATGAGGCTGATGAAGAATTGGAAGATTTCGGCAAAATCCCTACTGTTGCTGAAGCGTATGCTGCTTGTTCCACCATACGAGCATTTATTCAGACTGCTGAAACTTCCCAGAGTGTAAAAGAATCATTATCGATTGTTTCCACATCAATTGAAAAAATGTTTTTTTCAGAAGTTCAAGGAAGGCGACAAACAAAAATTACAGACTTTTTTCATTAAATATTCAGGTAAAATGTGTTTACATATTTTGTAATACATATATGTATGTATTTTTTTTTGTCTTTTTAAAATAAATAGTATATGTATGCCTACATTTTATTTACATTTTACTTATACTTATTTCACTACATATTATACATATATGTATGTACATATTTAGATTTGCTTAAGTACAATAAACACATATGTTAAATGTTATGTATATGTTATTATAACATATTATAAGTATAGTTAAAGTAACACATTTTTGCGTCATAACCCTAGGTACAACGAACTAACTGTCCCTATTAGTGTTATATCGTTTATAGCAACCTGTTCATTATAACCGATAGAACTGCTTACAGAGAACACTGGCTACAACGTACAAAAAGCACCAGTCCCCTGAAGTTCGTTATAAACGATTTTGACTGTATATATATATATATATATATATATATATATATATATATATATATATATATATATATACATATTTCACGAATTGGCGGCCATATGAAGCCAAAAGACCACGAGGAAGACCGTAAATGCGATGGAGCGACGATACTAAAAGAACTGCAGGGCCAATGTGGAAACGTCTTACAAACAACAGAGATGAATGGCGAGAATTGATAGAGGCCTATATTCGGCAAACCGAATAGAAAAAAGGGCTTAAAAAAATTTAATGTCATGTGATTTTTTATAAAAATATTTTGAGATACGAAACGATCGGTTTTTTTAGATTAAGTTCTTTATATTTATTAATAATACAATGCCCCACTAATGAACTTCGTATTCGCACATAAGATTCATACTTCCCAGAATAGCCATACACGAGCATTTAATTGATATTTCCTCATGGAATGTGTCCAAAGCGGGGCTACTAGTAGCGTGGACCATTGAATACACAGAATATGCAAGTTATTTGTCATTTAAATTGAAATTATTTAAAAACTGCAACACATTAAAGTGTCTTGCACAAAAAGCATAGAGTAAATTTTAAGATTTTTGTTATACCAGTTTCCATTTTTTTAAATAATTGTGAAATATAATTACAATCTTACAGTTTTCTTGGAATACAACATAATGAATGTTACTAAATCTGTGATGAAAGCTTGTAAAGAAGAAAGTATTTCAAATACATACGGTAAATCAAGATTTGGTCCATCAACACCGCTATGCAGATCGCTAGTTCCTAAGATGTTACTCAAACTCAATTCTGTTCCTTCTTTAGCTGTTGCATCACCGACTATTAATACAGCTTTTAGTACTGCTAGCACAGGACCAACGTGTATGTTCCTGTAAAGAGTTTAAAATAAGTTAAAAAAATACCATTGTTTTTACAAAGAGTTCCTTATTAAATTAAAAATATTATAGAAATGTTCAATCTCCTGCTCTGAGTTATCTGATGTCGGAGCATAAATTTGTAAGATATTAAGGTTGTTTTGTCTTGCATGTACTTTCAACAAAGCTACTCTATCCGAGATTGGGAGAAATCCTACAACCGCATCATCCCATTATTTCCTAATAATAATTGCAACGCCATTTCTATTATTTGTTGTGTTATCGCCTGAATAGTATATGCGAGCTCGTCTGATTCGATTTTGCTGTTGTTCGGCCATCTAACTTCGCTGCACCCTAATACATCTATATTAAGTCGTCTCATTTCTTTTATGATGGCAGTTTTTCCTAGCCTTAACATACTTCGGAAATTCCAGGTTTCAATTCTTTTTGTTGCATTTGCTAATATTTTGTTCCTTCAGGGGATTCTTAGCACCCTCTCTCTATTAAAGGAGTGCCCGGCACTAAGGGCCAATTCTGTGTTTGTACTGTCCATTGTGATTTTACTAAGGATGCTCTGTTAAGCCCTTAATTCAGTGGTTTCCCATTGCCTTCTGCATTCCAACACCGTTGACTAATTCAAATTAGTTCTTTCAAACACTTGGTTTAAACTACCTCCCAGGCGAATATATACATGGAAATCATCTTAAGACAATAATCAAAAGATTGCGAGGAATCAAATTGATTTTGCTTTGATTAATAATAGATTTAACTCAAGTATCCAGCGTGCAAAAACCTACCCAGGTAGGGACGTAGGATCCAGTCGTTATCAATCTCAGACAAAAACTAAAAACAATACGTCGAAAAAAACCAGAGAAATGAAATATTAAAATACTTCTAAACAAGGCTAATAAAGGAGAAGTAGCAACCAAACCAAATGAAGACCTGAAAAAAACAATCATTACAGGAGACAAAGAAATAGAAAATATATGGCAAATCCTAAAACATGCCACAGTTGAAGTGCAAAGAGAAGAACTTGAGAATTTGAAAAGTAACAAACGGAAAGATATTTTGGAAGTCGTGGAAGAGAAAAAAAAACACAAAAACAACCCACATCTATATAAAGAAAACTAAAAAGCCATAGATTCAAAAATCAAAGAAGCATAAGAAAAATGGATAAATGAAATGAAAACAAAGAAAAAGGACTCCCCAATCCTAGGCGTAGTAGTAAAACATGCGAAATAAGGTGCAAAGTATTAAAAAGCCATTGAAATGATAACAACATAAAACTACCCACACATATTTTTAACAACATATATGAAAATGGCGTAATACCAAAGGAATGGCTTATCAGAATTCATAGCTATACCAAAAAAAAAAACTAGTTCCCGCAAATGCGAAGAATTTAGTCTCATTGGTTTAATGAGTTACTTCTAAAAATATTCTTAAAGGCCATACAGAATCGAATTTATAAAAAATGTGAAATAGTCATAACTGATTCTCAGTTCGGATTTAAAAAGACCTTGGGAACAAGGGAGGCGTTGTTTGCTACTCGAAGCACTTATTCAAAAATGCCTCGATCATCAGAAAAAGTATATCTCAGTTTCATCAACGGCCAGAAGGCTTTTGATAGAGTTTAGCATGAAAAATCGGTGTATGAACTACAGAAAATGAAGCTAGACGGAACAGATCTCCGTATAATACAAAACCTTTATTGGAACCAAGAAGCAAATCTTAAAAAAACTGAAGTAATGGTAATATGATATTAAAATTAAATACCATGAGAAGACTTCTTCTTACGGTGCCTTATCCTTAAGGACGTTAGCCATTACATTTGCCCATTTAATCTTATTTGTAGCAGCCCTGAATAGTTCTATAAAGGTCATGTTCGTCCATTGCCGTAGGTTTTTAAGCCAAGAGTTGCGTCTTCTTCCTGGTCCTCTTTTGCTATTGACTTTGCCTTCGATTATAAGTTGGAGCAGTTCATACTTTTGATTTCTTATGATGTGACCAAAATATTGTGTTTTCCGTTCTTTTATTATAAGCATAAGCTCTCTTTCCTTATTCATCCTCCGCAAGACTTCCGCATTTGTCGTATGGCTCATGTAGGATATTCTGAGCATTTTACGGTAACACCAGGGTTCGAATGCTTGGATTCTTTTTTGTGTTGCTTCTGTCATTGTCCAGGCTTCAACACCATAGAGCAAGGTGGAGAAAACATGGCACTTAAGTATTCTAGTTCTCAATGAGATGCCCAGCTGGCGGTTGCATAGAACTTTTTGCATTTTGTAAAACATTGTACGTGCCTTTTCCAGGCGTATTCTTATCTCTAGTGAGTGGTCCCAAGTTTCATCAAGATTACTTCCAAGGTACGTTGTTCTTGTTACTCTTTCCAGATCTGTTTCGTCGACATTGATCTTCGCCCTTCTGATTTGGTGCTTGCTGATGACCATCGTTTTTGTCTTCTTTGTATTCAATTTCATTCCAAATTCTCTACAGACTGTCGTTACTCGGCCCATTAAGCGTTGCAGGGCTTCAGCATTATCTGCCAGTATGACAGTGTTATCAGCATATCGCAGGTTATTTATACATTGCCCGTTTATAATTATACCATCCGAGGTGCCTTCCAAAGCTTTCTGAAATATCTTCTCAGAGTAAATATTAAACAGCAAAGGTGATAGGACACATCCCTGTCTTACTCCCTTCTCGATATTGATTTTTCCAGATGTTTCGCTTTTTATTCTGATTTTAGCCTTTTGTTCTTAGTAGAGGTTTGAAATGACCCTTAAGTCTTTATCGTCGATATTACATGACCTTAAAATATCTATTGATATGATGAGAAGACTAGAAACATTTTAAATATGACTTATATGACCTAACCTAACCTAACATCAACACATATACCAAACAAAATTTTAATTCTAAATTGACCAATAAATAACAAATTTAATTAATTGGTTTAGTTCCTACCAGCATCCTTCAGCATAATCTATCTAGACAACCTACGCAGTTTATACTCAAGCAGTGATAATAAAGTAGCTGACGCAAAAAGTAAACCACAAGAACAAAGAGCAAGTTGAACAACTGAGCTACTTCTTTAATACATTCTGTATAGACTAAATAAGATGTATCATTAGGATCGTTCGTTAAGAAACCAAAAGTAAGTATCTAAAAAGTAAAACTGACTAAGTATCTTAATTACTGAAATTATCTGAAATATCAACGCTTATCACAAGCAGTTCTTGTCTTCACAGAAAACAGACGTATGTACATATCTCATTTCTGAAACACACTTAACAAAAGAATCGTACATAACATTACAAAACCTATTACACTATCCACCCGGATAATAGTAAATCACTCATTTCGAAAAATAACTTATTTTTCACGGATTATTTATATTGGTACACTTCCCGTCATATAAAACTGGTACACTTTTTTCCCAATGTAAACCTGTGTTCAGCAATCAATTCGTTGTTGCCATTACAGATAACGGAATTGCACTAAATCTAAATAACGTTCAAAAATGTATAAAATTTTAGATATTTAATACTTATTATTTTTATCATTGCCAAAAAAACTGAATCTACGAAAAAACGCTTTTCAACACGTAACAGTTACAATATCTCATTGTAATGTTTTATTATAATAATTTGAAGTTTTTTTAGATTGATTATCTGTCATTATTTTTGAATTGAAATATTTTCATAAATTGTTATAAAAAACACAAATCAATGTATGGATACTTAATTGAGATGACGGAAAATTACAAAATTAATATGAGAATTTTTTAGGATGCATGTTAAACAAATTTAATGTAACTGATTGAGAATGCTCGATATTTTAGTTTTTAGTATACTCAAAACTGGCGGTCTGTCACACAGCCTTGCTTTTAGCTGATTTTATATAATATTTTCGTTGAACTGGCAACGGTGCCCTAGAAATCTGAATGACACATATGACAAGATCAATGTACACAACTTAAAAAACACGATTTTTGATTATAAGAGTTGTACCAGTTTTTTATGACGGGAACTGTACATAAAGAACTTATAAAAAAATAATTATTACCTATGCGCAGCAGCCAAGAGATGTCGATCACAACTCAGTCTAACACCTAAGGGTGGTCTTGGAGCAGTAAGAGGAGGAGATCCGACGGAATATAATCCCGGTTGGGGACCTTCGGCTGTACGAAATAGACGAAGTAATAAATGACAAGTCAAACGCATACCACCTTCAGCTCTCCCTTCGCCGTTATCCAATGACTTCACCTGTAAGAAAAAGAGTGATCAAATATTAGTATTAGCAAGAGTGATTTGTATAGAGCATGGTATTTTAAATACATAAAGCGTGAGTGTGTAGCTAGTCAACACCGACTGGTGATAGTAAATACGGAGATAAAAGTAAGGCAGAAAGAAAAGTAAGTACGAGACCAGAAAGTAAAGTGGTGGAAGTTACATAAGGATAAGGATTTGGCAAAAATCTTTAAGAGTAGAGTGCTGAAAGAGTTTGAGAAAAAAGATATGATGAATGACTGATGGAAAGCCAGAAGCAAAGCTGTAGTATAAGTGGGAGAGGATGCACTAGGCAAATCATGCGAAAAAGGGCCTTTTAGGGACAAACAAAATTATTGGTGGAACGATGAAGTGTAACGGAAGGTTAGGGAGAATTAAGAGGCTAGAAAGAAGTATGACAGGTCTAAAAGAGAGAATAATAAGTATATATACAATGTAGCAAAGCGTACTGTAGCTATTGCTAAGGGAAGATCGTCTGCACAGCTCTATGAAGAGCAGGAAGCACCCGAGGGATGAAAAGGTTATACAGCATTGTTAAAGCAAGGGAAAAGTCATCAAAAGACTTGACTCACGTGCGGCAAATTAAGAGTGTGGATGAAAAAGTGTTAAGAACCAATGTTGAAATGAAGCAAAGATGGTATGAGTACTTTAAAAACTTGCTAAATGAAAGAACACCACAGGAGAGACAGAATATGCAGGATCCCAAATGAGGATGTAATACTGGGGATAACGAGAAATGAGGTTGTCGAGGAGTTAAACAGGATGAAGAATGATAAAGCAGTAGGACTTGATGGAATACCTGTGAAGATTTGGACGGCTTTAGGAGAGGGAGTGGTTGATGTTTTGTTGCAAATGATATGTAGGATATATGAGGAAGAAAGGATACTCAATGCATGGAGAGAGAGTGTAATGGTATCATTGTATAAAGATAAAGGGAACATTGGGAACTGTAAGAACTATAGGGGGATAATGTTAATGTCGCACACAATGAAAATTTGGAAGAGAAGTGTAGAGAAAAGGTTAATGGGAGAAGACAGTTTGTTTGCTTTGAGACAGTTGATAGAGAACTCCGGCGAGAAGAAAAGAAAGCTACCATTAGTATTTAGAGATCTTGAGAAGTACGACATAATTGCTAGACAAGAGCTATGGAGATGTATGAGAAAGAAATGGGTTCCTGAGAAGTATGTATGGCTAATAAAGGAAATGTATGAGGGAGCGTACATTAAAGTAAGGATCTGTGTCTGATGGACCGAATGTTTTCCAGTGACGGCTGGTTTATATCAAGGCTCTTCACTGACTCCCTACCTATTTAATCTTGTTATGGATGTACTTACAGAGAAGATAAGGGAGGAGCTCCTGGGTCAATGTCCTTTGGTGATGATATTATGCTAGTAGATGAAAGCAAAGTGATCGAATTACTTCGAGAAAAACTAGCACCAGTAGAAGAATTTACATACCTTGGCTCCTACATAATGGAAGATGGGACAATAGATCGAGCAATTGCCCACATGATTCAGGCTGTTGGTATAACTGGAAGCGAATGAACGGAGTACTATGAGATCAAAAAATAGGGTAAGAGCTGAAAAGAAAGATATACAAGAGTGTGGTGAGGTTTGCGTTGGTGTATGGTGGTGAAATATGGTCTGTAAAGAAGATTTAGAAAAAGAAGATGGAGATAGAAGATGACAGGATCAGGAACGATTTCTTTAGTTAAAGAGCTGGGGTAACTACAGTCTCAAAAAAGATTCAAGAGCAAATAATGCAATAATTTGGTCACGTCAGACGTAGAAATGAAAACTATTTGGGTGGAAGGATAGAGCTGTTGGACGGAAGTTGACCGAAAGAGATCGTAGGAAGTTGATGGAAAGTGACGTAGAGGAAAACCGAGAAGAAGATGGAAAGACTGTGTGGCATAGGCGTTGAGAGAGAGAAATATTCAGGCGAAGAAGATACGATGGACAGAAATAACTAGCGAAGAAGAGAAAGGAAAAGTGACCCCTGAAAAGGGAAAAGCTGAGGAAGAAGAAGAATGGTATTTTACATACGTTTAATTATATTCCAAATACAAACACATTCAATACTAACGTATTAATGTTTTTTATCATTTTGTCGCTGAAAACTACTACAAAATTGACGACAATGTCACTAAATCAAAATATATATCGAATTAATTATCTGCACAACTTACTTTAAGCAAACTGGGTAGAGCTACTCTTCTGACAAAATCTTCCAGTGAAAAACAATGCCTCGCTATCAAAATGCAAGTGAATACAGCTAGAGCGTTGTGAATGCTGACGTCCTAAAATAAATTATTTTTCAATTAATAAATCAAATTAAATTGTATCTGTAACAGTAGAATTTTTGGTTAAGAGTGATCATTTTGTTAATTATATTTTCTGTAAAAATTAAAATCATGGACATTAAAAGCTAAAGTTTGATAAATATGGTCATACTTTATCTCCACTTGCTATATGAGTATTCATTAAGGGTAAAAATTATATATATATATATATATATATATATATATATATATATATATATATTCTATAGAGGCCTATATTTTAATCACTGTTTCCGTTATCGGAATGCAGTTTGTAAAAAGTGTAGGCGATTTTAGTTATCCCATTATTCACATTTTTAAAGATTTGTTCTTTATATTCACTTTTTGATAATTTAAAAAACATATTTCAGGATAAGCACTCAATTTTCATGACAGTATAACTCTGCTTAGAAAAAATGCTAAGATGTCTCACATCTTTCTTTTTTATTTTTTTCAAATTAATTTAAAATTTTTAAATATTTACATATTTAATTTGATACACAAAGATGTAATCTATCTTCAGTATAATAGAGAAGCTCCCCTAAATATTATAAAAACTATCGAAAGCATGTACCAAAACAACAAAATGAAAGTCAGAATAGATGGACAATTTACAGAACCTATAGAAATAGACAGCTTCAATTTGATCATGGATGACATTATTAAAAGCGTTAACAAAGGAAGGTGATACAGAATGGGAAACAAAGAAATCAAAATACTCTGTTATGTAGACGACGCAATATTGATAGCCCAAGATGAAGATAGTCTGCAAAGACTGGTCCAGAGATTTGACATAAGGGCAAAAGAATTTAATATGACAATCTCATCTCAGCAAACTAAAACAATAGTATTGTTCTGAAGCTATTTTCTTGTGGCATTTTAAATTAATTACTATTTAACTGGGAATAAGCCACAATTAAAGATAAAAATACGTTTATTGACGTTTCAATTTCCACTTCCGAAGTAGCGTTTATTTTGCTTACCCTATCTTTACCCCCTTTAATCTTACACTGAGGTAGGCAAAATATTTTCGTTACAGTCTTGCCTGAGAATAGAAGATGATACTAATCAAAAAGATTTTCTTTGAAAATAAATCACTTGAGCATAAATATTCCATATTAAGGAGAAAGTTTTTTTGTGGCTTCTTTACTGCGTTTTGTAAATGTTTTGTTTAAACGAGAGTTGCACTTCAGAATTGGCATTAAGAACGGAATCCAGTTATTGTGGAAATTTTGGCCAAAATATATGATGTTAAAGGAAAAGTACAACGAAAAACAAGCATTTTTAAAATAAAAACTAATCTTTATTGGTCCGATTACATTTTAATTGACCCTCGCATGTTTTTGTTAGGATACATTTTTAAAAAATTTTAAATTTGCTTCTCTCTAGGTATTTTTAGATATATTAAATATAGTATTGAAAAGTATAATGACAAAACAACAATTTTTAAAATAAAAAATCTTATCTTTTAACTATTAGACCGATTATTTTTTACTTGAACCTCGTATATTTTTCCTGGTATATTTTATCAATGTTTTTCTCTCTTTATCTTTTTAGGTGTACTAAATATATTGATGATAAGTTACCTGTATATCCAGTTGATTTAAGACTTCTGCGTAATATCCAGGATGAGTTAGTGGGCAACATAATGTAAGTATCACTCCCAACCATTCTGAAGCTAAAGAGTTGCAACAAGCTGTCATCTCAGCACATAAAATCGCTAGATCATTCAACCGTTCGTTCTCCATTTCCCGGCAAACGTGAATTACTGCATTACTTACAAAAGAGTACCTAAGACAAAAATTCAGGTCAAGCTACTTCTACGGTTTTAATGTGCTTACAAAAATTACAAACCTGTTATTTCCATTTTCGTTCAGTTGCTTCGCCAAAACACTATCGATTCTTCCCGCTCTTCTTGGATTAATAAACAATTCTTGCATATATTGGGCATTATAAACATAAATATTACTCGGCGTCGGTTGAGGAGAAGTATAAAGAGCCTGTTTGATTTTGGGATAAGCATTTCCGAAAGGCTCGACAGCGTGAGGCTTGGATTTCAATAAACTACAAGATGAATAAAGGTCGTACAAATGAGCAAGAATACATCTTTCGGCAGAGCTACAATCTCCAGGGTTGGATACATGTTTCACGACTTTACAGAGTCCTTCAAATACGGCTGAGGTTTGTTCTGGCGATACTACAAGAAAAAATAGCAATATATGTAATATAAAAGCAAAAGTGTCCTCTTATCAACGATTTCGTTATATGTCGTTAAAACATTTTCAGACGAAAGCTACAATAGTGTTACAAAATGGTGAAATTGTATAATTTGCAAAATAAGATAAAACACTTACTTGTGTGAGGTTGTAGCAAAAAGTTGTGAAAAAATGGACAAAAATCCTGTGTAAAACTTCCTTAAAATTATACCACCCAGACAATCTTATCAATTCGATAAGTGTATATCTGATGTGACAATTTAAAAATTATATATTTAAGTAACAAACATTCAGGGGCAAACAATTATTAAAATACACATATTACAACGAACAAATTATGAAGATGTCACTATTGAAGCCATATGATCAAAGACTGAGATACCTCAAGGTGATGGAGACCTGTTAGTTGTCAGATCCGGAAGTATCTGTCAAATATATGTCACATCGAAGACATAGAAGATAATTCACCCAGCAAAGAACAAATCAGGAAATCATAAAAAATATGAAAAACAATAAATGCCCTGGAAGCGATAACATAACAGCAGAGATGATCAAATATGGTGGAAAACTGTTAAATGATTGGATATACAAGATTATAAAGGAGATATGGATAAAAGAACGAATACCAGAAGATTGGAAGGAAGCAATTACACAAAAAAAAGGAGACAAAACTAGAATTGCACAGAAAATTTACTGGAGATATGGGAAAGGAAAGTACTGAGGAAGATATATGGAGGAATAATAAGGGACGGTTTATGGAAAGAAGATCAAATGATGAGTTAGAGGAATTATATAACCAACCTAATATAATAGGAGTCATAAAGGCACAGAGACAAAGAGGGCGAGGTCACCTAAAAAGGATAGCGAACACGAGGACTCCAAAAAGGAGTCAACACTATAGCTTCAAAAAAGAGAAAAGGAAGGCCAAAAAATAGATGGAATCGAGGTAGAAAAAGATATGGAAAAAATTGGACTAGAAGACCAGAAAAGAAAAATGAATAACAAAAAGGAATGGAGAAAAATCACATATCAAGCCAGAGAAAATCTCGGTACATAAAGAAAAGCGAAAATGAAGAAAAAACAAACTTTTCAAGCCAAGGGCTTAGTGCTATTGTATATATATATATATATATATCGGAAAAAGGAGTACGACCGTCAATCCAATATATATATAAGGATCACTCAGACGAGTGGTGGGTTCTTATATCGGTCTCTAGGTGGAGAAATAAAAGACAAAGTTGATAGGCTACTTTATCTATTTTGAAGACGTTTCGCTTTCGAGTTTTGAAAGCAAGATGAACTGATGATGCTTTCAAAACTCGAAAGCGAAACGTCTTCAAAATAGATAAAGTAGCCTATCAACTTTGTCTTTTATTTCTCCACCTAGAGACCGATATAAGAACCCACCACTCGTCTGAGTGATCCTTATATATATATATATATATATAATATATATATATATATAATATATATATATATATATTATATATATTTATCAAATTATTCTCGACCGTACTGTGTTAAATATTATTTGTAGTCTCAGCAATTGGTCTGTGTGAAATAAAACTCTATTTGTTATTTCTCAATATTTCGTCACGATTTTGTGACTTCTTCAGGAGAAAACTGTAAATTTATTTTAATTATTATATGTAAACAAAATGAATATTTCAATACTTACAACTTAAGATTAAAAATTTTAAATTTTAATAACATATCCAATTAGATAAATGACATTTTTTTTTATTTAATTTATTTGGGAGTTATGGTAACCGCAATATTTTATAGAGTGAATTCCCATTGTACAATTTTTAGCGAATAAGTTTTAATAAACAATTACATATTGTGACAGTATTATCCATATAATAAGGTGCAAAAGTAGAATATTGAGAAAGAATCAGGAACATGTTAAATTGATCTATAAAATGTAATTGATGGTACGTAGTCAGTTATTGGTCTGATGTTGTTAGATACTGATATGAAGATCTATCATATTATATATTGTTTAGTATATTACAGTAGATATTACTTAAATGGTTGGTGTCTGTCTTATAATTGATAGATTCTGGAGTTTTATTAATGTGTACCATTTCAAGGAAAAGTCGATTTTTATAATTATCAATTTGTTCTAATATTTTTACATTATTAAAGTCAAAGTTATGTCCTGTCTTTAAGTGGTGGTCTACTAAGGCACAAGAGTTTTTTCGTAAGTTACAGTCACTTTTGTGTTGAGTGACACGTTGTTTAAGCCACTGTTGACTTTGTCCAATATAACAACTTTGACATTGACTGCAATTTATTCTATAAATTATATTACTCATTAGTGAATTTGGAGTTTTAACTTTTATTTTTGAGAACAACCTTGAATTTAGAAGTGGATTGTATTTAATTAATTTAATGTTCGGAAATGTTTTGAAAAGTGGGACAATTTGGTCTGTTAAATTTTTTAACACCACTTAAAGACAGGACATAACTTTGACTTTAATAATGTAAAAATATTAGAACAAATTGATAATTATAAAAATCGACTTTTCCTTGAAATGGTACACATTAATAAAACTCCAGAATCTATCAATTATAAGACAGACACCAACCATTTAAGTAATATCTACTGTAATATACTAAACAATATATAATATGATAGATCTTCATATCAGTATCTAACAACATCAGACCAATAACTGACTACGTACCATCAATTACATTTTATAGATCAATTTAACATGTTCCTGATTCTTTCTCAATATTCTACTTTTGCACCTTATTATATGGATAATACTGTCACAATATGTAATTGTTTATTAAAACTTATTCGCTAAAAATTGTACAATGGGAATTCACTCTATAAAATATTGCGGTTACCATAACTCCCAAATAATTTAAATAAAAAAAAATGTCATTTATCTAATTGGATATGTTATTAAAATTTAAAATTTTTAATCTTAAGTTGTAAGTATTGAAATATTCATTTTGTTTACATATAATAATTAAAATAAATTTACAGTTTTCTCCTGAAGAAGTCACAAAATCGTGACGAAATATTGAGAAATAACAAATAGAGTTTTATTTCACACAGACCAATTGCTGAGACTACAAATAATATATATATATATATATATATATATTTGATAAAATCAATTTTACCGTAAGATTGTAAAAACATGTATACTTACACAATAAACAACAATGATATCTTCTGAGTACTCCTACAACATACAAACTCAACGACGTAGTATAATTCCTACTCAATGCCAAATTTTTATTATTCAACTGTGCCTCGACTTCCGGCAATTCTTTTAAAATCTGGATACAAACATCAATTAGTCCATATATATTTAGGGCGAGTTCCATTAGATCGAACAGGAATGCTACGTGTTCTTGAACTGGAAGGTAATTCGAGTTTCCGGTGGCGAATGAATTTAGCATTTCTATGACGGTAACGCTACATTGCCACGTTACTAAGTGCTGATCAAAATAACTGAGGCTTTGGCATTTTTGGGTAGTTGATTCAAAATTAAATTCATTGCGTTGCTTTTTGACTTTTCCACCTTCAGCTACGTCGATGCTAAATTTCTTTGAAAATAGTTTGCATATTTCTTTCGACATCTTCTTTACAGTGTGTCTGTAAGTAAAATAATGTTAAAAGATTCAGACTTACGTAGAAATAGAATAGAAGGACAGATCTTGTGATCAATCATCTTCAAAATTTAGGTCAGCAAGATATTAATTTTTTACTAATTTTACTAGATAAAGACTGTTTTATTAGGTTGCAGACTTTGCGAGATCGCACTGTAACGGCATCATAATTATAAATGTGACTGCATGAGACCCATCAGTGGTTTGTAAGTGACCAAACTATTAAAAATAGAACAGCATGAAGTAGGGTTAAATGCTCGAAGACCTGTGAGAGTGCCTGTGTTATCCAGAGGAATTCGCTTATCAACTTCGGTGGGCACAAGAACATGCAAATTGGGTTAGATGTGAGTGAGTCTCTACTTTGTCCAGAGATGAGTTCCAATTTGGATTTGTACCAGATACAAGACAGACACGAATTTGAAGATGATCTGGCAATGCTGAATGATTTTCCACTGTGCAGGAGTTTCAAAGATAGCAAGGTGGCAGTATAATTGTATGTGTGGCATTACTCTTGATATAAGAACCAATCTCATTTGTCTGGAACAGACTACCGCGATATTATTCTCGAACCTACTGTTGTACCCTTTGCATAACAAGCTGGTCCCCAATTTCAATTATTGCACAAAAATTTGTGTTCATATACTGCCAAATTGAGGTTTTACTATAGCCTGCACAACTGCCAGATTAAAACATGATTGAGCATGTATGGGCATACATATTGGGCAGACGCAGTTTACAACAAAATTTTGCGTTCAATACAAGACAGTAGCTGTTTGAGAGCCTTTCAATGGAGTGGAACAGAATACCACACCAAGAAATTGACCATCTGATCATGAATTTGCCTTACAAATATAAGACAGTAATCAACAACAACGTGGAGGTGATACACTATACTAACTTAACCTAAAGACTATTTTTTGGGAATTGAGGAGTAACAAATTAGTTTTTTTTTTGTTACCATTTTTTGACATGAAGTTCTCTTTTAATTTTCTTAAGAACTATTACGATAATTCTTAGAAAAAATGTTTAAGACTGATTTATAAATTTTACGTTGGCGTTGGCGCTGGCGTTCGCCGTTGCCTTGGCGTTGGCTATCCTAGACTGCATTTATAAACTTTCGGTTGTCGTTAGCGTTAAAGATCAAATCTAAATTTCTAACTTTACATTTTTGATTTGGTATTATTAATTTTTAACCAGAACAGAGAGACAAGACGTAATTTTAATTATTATCAAAATATGAAAAACTAAGATACCCAGCAGTTTTTTAAATATAGACTAGGCGGCATCTGTAGAAATTCAGACCATAATGGAAATTTTCGAGGGAAGCTATTTTTTTGCTGAAATCCCTTCAGGATATGCCCAGTATCGATAATCACGATATGCGCCAGTCGCAAACCCTGTGCTAAATTTTTTATTTAACAAAATCTGAAAACAATTGAAAATTTCTCATTTTTTTGCTCCTATTTTCATTTATAATTCGAAAAATATTGATCTTAGAGAAAAAATTATAAGTGGTTAAAAGTTTCGTTATTAAATTTTACACAATATTTTGTTAGCTATAAATTGAAAATTTAATGGTTATTGTTGAAAAAATAGCAATAATTGGAAAAAAAGTACAAAAAAATGAAGTTAATCCTTTAAATGTTTTCGACTTTCTAAACTTGACTTACAAGTTCCATATTCCGCCTAGAAAAACTTTTTAATATGTTTAAAACGTGTGCTAAATTTTGTTAAGATCGGTCGGATAGGTTTTGCATAATAATTTTGCAATCCAGCCTACTGGAAAAAAATCGCAAATTTTCAAATTCATAGTAGGCCCTAAATAAGGCCCTCAGATAGTTGCAGTTTTTTTTTCGTATAAAGGAAGTCTCACACTTTCAAACGCTTTTTGTAAAATTCAAATCGGTTTACTAGGAAAGCCTATAAATTTTTTTAAAGTTATAAACATTTTTTAGGCTTATAAACAAATTAAATAACTTTACGAGCTTTAAACATATCAATTTCAAAATGTATACACTTAAAGAACATTAAAAGACGCTTCTTTTAAAAAACAAAAAGATACATTCGGCTTACTGGTTGCCGAGATATTGAAGGTCAAAGTTGGCATACATTTGCCGTGTAACCATAAGTGATAGAGGGCTCGTTTTTAAACAAATACCCTCGTCTTGTTAAATACTTTTTATATGAAAAGTTTTACGTAATGCGCTTTATGGCAATATCCATAAAAAAGACAAATAAAAAAACCGTTTTTGCGTAATATGTCGCTCGGAATGCATGAGAGGTGGTGATGAGGGACATTCACTTCAAATGTGAATCGGCGAGTATCAAGTATATATTAGCCTCAGATAACAAGCCAGTTTTTATAATTGCAGAGGATATTGATGTTCTGGTAATATTTTTACAAAAAGTAACTGAAAATAAAAATATTTTTTTCTGGAAACCTAGCAAAGGAAAAAAATCGGAAGAAATTTATTACTACAACTCTTTCAATAATGCACTTAAAATAAGAATCTACGAAATTTTCGTTAAAAAATTTAGTGGGATTTTTACACGCATTTTCTGGTTGTGATACAACCTCTGCATTTTTTTATCAAGGAAAAAGCAAAATTGTTAAATTGGTTTCAACAAATAATTATATATGGCAAGAAGCAACCATTTTTAATGAAAAAAGTGCAACTAAGGAAGAAGCGGAAGCAGCGGATGCAAAATTATATCGGCATTGTATATGGGCCACTCAAAGTGCGATTTTACATTGAATAAAATTCGCTACTTGTGCTTTAAAAAAGGTTGCAAAAATAAAAATTTTCAATTGTCCATGCTGCCACCTACACAATCTGCAGCTGAGCAACACTCGCTTCGTGTATATTTCCAAGTACAGCAGTGGCTTGGAAATAACCTGAATGCTACTGAGTGGGGGTGGGAACTAACTCAAAATGGTCTTGAGCCAATACAAACTGAGCAAGTATTACTACCTGACTCATTATTCAGAAATATTAGTTGCAAATGTAAAAAACTTTGTAAAAAAACATGCAGTTGTATCAAACATGGTCTCAAATGTTCTGACTATTGTCTTCACTGCAATGGTCAAACATGTAAAAATATTGATCACAATAAAATATTGGAAGAAGTTGAACGAGATATGGATATGGAGTCGATGGATTCCTTAGATTTTTTGGAGGCACAAGATATAGCTACAGATGAAGGAGAAGAAACATTAAATTTACAGATCGAGGATGAAGATATTGAAATGGAAAATGAAGGTTTTGAGGAAGAAATAAAACCTGAAGATTCTTGTCCTTCCAGAAAAAGAAAAAGACTTAAAAAAAATTATTGAAGATTGAGTCAAAATAAAGATTATTTATGAAAAGAAAATTTTTGTTTCATTCGCCTTTGTTTTAGCAATTTAAATTATTTATTAACAATTTATAAATACATATTTGTTTACTAAAAGTAACAATTTACTTCAATGTATAAATTGCAAGCTCAAAAAAAAAACAATTTCGAGCATTACACAGCAGTATAATAACACGTCAATATACAATATACACGTCACTTTCGAATCAAAATATATTCTCAAATCAAATAATGTCATTATTATGATAAAACTGCAGAAATAAATTATTTTTAATGTTAATTATTTTAAAATGTTTGATTTTTACAAAAAAAAATTTCCTTCGTTTTAACAATTCAAATTATTTATTAACAATTTATAAATACATATTTGTTTACTAAAAGTAACAATTTACTTTACAAGCCCTTACAGATTTTTTGTTTATATTTCAAAACCCGAAATTAAACAAAGTGATGGTCCCCTACTTGATACTCGCTGATTCACATTTGAAGTGAATGTCCCTCACCACCACCTCTCATGGATTCCGAGCGACATTTTACGCGAAAACGGTTTTTTATTTGTCTTTTTTATGGATGTTGCCATGAAGGGCATTACGTAAAACTTTTCATATAAAAAGTATTTGGCAAGACGAGGGTATTTGTTTAAAAACGAGCTCTCTATCACTTATGGTTACACGGCAAATGTATACCAACTTTGATCTTCAATATCTCGGCAACCAGTAAGCCGAATGTATCTTTTTGTTTCTTAAAAGAAGCGTCTTTTAATGTTCTTTAAATGTATACATTTTGAAATTGATATGTTTAAGGCTCGTAAAGTTATTTCATCATCATCATCATCATTAGCCATTTTGCGTCCACAGCTGAACATAGGCCTCCCGTAAATAATTCCATTGCATCCGATCTTGAGCAACTTGAATCCAGTTAGACTGGATGCGCTTTAAATCGTCCGACCACCTTGTTGGAGGACGTCCTCGACTACGATAAGCATCGTGTCTAGGCCTAGGTAAAGTTATTTAATTTGTTTATAAGCCTAAAAAATGTTTATAATTTTAAAAAAATTTATAGGCTTTCCTAGTAAACCGATTTGAATTTTACAAAAAGCGTTTGAAAGTGTGAGACTTTATTTTTATGTAAAAAAAATTGCAACTATCTGAAGGCCTTATTTAGGGCCTACTATGAATTTGAAAATTTGCGATTTTTTTCCAGTAGGCTGGATTGCAAAATTATTATGCAAAACCTATCCGACCGATCTTAACAAAATTTAGCACACGTTTTAAACATATTAAAAAGTATTTCTAGGCGGAATATGGAACTTGTAAGTCAAGTTTAGAAAGTCGAAAACATTTAAAGGATTAACTTCATTTTTTTGTACTTTTTTTCTCAATTATTGCTATTTTTTGAACAATAACCATTAAATTTTCAATTTCTAGCTAACAAAATATTGTGTAAAATTTAATAACGAAACTTTTAATTACTTATAATTTTTTCTCTAAGATCAATATTTTTCGAATTATAAATGAAAATAGGAGCAAAAAAATGAGAAATTTTCAATTGTTTTCAGATTTTGTTAAATAAAAAATTTAGCACAGGGTTTGCGACTGGCGCATATCATGATTATCGATACTGGGCATATCCTGAAGGGATTCCAGCAAAAAAATAGCTTCCCTCGAAAATTTCCAATCCAAAACAGATCCCGCCTAGACTAATATACCAGGATGTAGGTTTCAGTATAAATAAATGTAAACTGGATGGAATGGAAAATAAATGTAAACTATCGCTCTGATGCAATTTCTGTTTAAGAAAGGCTTGTTATTATCTAAACTCTTCCACTTTATAAACACGTGGAAACACAAACATAAACAAATAATTTAGTTTGATTTGTTGTTGTGACAAACCTTGTCACTTTTTCGGTATTGCTATTGGCTGCGATGACAAAGATAGTTTTTTTATGTTCTGTGATCGTGACTACAACCACAGAAGGGTTGGTGTATACATAACCACATAAGTTGGTTTATCTTGAACGGAACCGAACGCCAACGCCAACGGCGAACGATGTTTATAAATAGACATATGAGTTTCCCATTTCACCATGTTGTAACGCGAACGTCAGCGCCAACGTAAAGTTTATAAATCAGCCTTTATTTTATATTCGGAACACTTGTTTATAACTTTTTATTAAAAATATTTGAAATAAATTATTTCAAATCCTTCTGTAATCTCGCATTTTGTTTTTGTCCCCTAGATTATTTTGATGTGTGTAAATAAATGTGTAAAAAAAATGACAAAAAGTGCTTTCTAAAAAAATATTGGACCTCACGCATACTCTGGGCATTTGCTCTTTTGTTTAATAACATTTTATTACTCACCTGGCTTCATCTCGTATCTTGCCGACACCATACAGCAAGACGTGTCTCTGATTACAGTCGTGTTGAGAAAAAGGATCATCCTGACTCAAAGGAAAATGCGTCGTATACAATAAATGTCTCGAAGGTTTAACTTTGTGATCGTTGTGATCAGTTTCCAGAGGGACATGGCCCATGGAAGAAGGAACATGGGAATGATGTCCGTGATCGTGCTCTTTGGGACTATCTGGAAAATCCATTGAGTTCTGTTGATCTTCTTTGATGTTTTGGAGGATTTTGTCTATATCATGGTCTATATTGTCGTCGCAATCCATCGGCTAGAATTAGAAGTCAAATTATTTAAAAATCACGGTAACTTAAAGAGGTAATAATTTTAACTTTTATAAAGGTTCTGAAATTGTTTTCTTGGGCATGTCTAAATTAAATATCATATTTATATGGGTTTATCATACGGAAATCGTTTAAAAAAAAAGGATTTTAAAAAAATACCGGAAAATGTATAAATAGCAAGTGTTTTACTTAACTCGGAATATCAAATTCCGACTTTTTTGTGACATCAAGTGACGTCACATGATTCCAACACGAAATATTTAAGCAGTAGGTCTTTTTCTGTTCCTTCTTAGAATCTTTTAGCCAAGTACACTAGAATTACAGCCACTAGACATACTTTATTACATCTTCTTCTTCTTTCAGAACCCTGTCCGATTATCGAACGTTGGCGATCATATTGGCAATAATAACTTTGTTTACAAATTAGCGGTGGTCTCTTGATACCATTCTCGGAGATTTCGGAACCAGGATGTTCTTCTTCGACCTGGGCCTCTTATTCCGGCGATCTTACCCTGTATTATGAGGTGTAGAAGGTTATACCTCTTTGGGTGTCTCATTACATAACCTAAATATTAAAACTTTCGAATTTTTATCGTTTTTGTTATTTCTGTGATCTTTTTCATTCGATGTAAGAATATTTGATTTCTTATTCCATCAACCCAACTGATCCGCAATAGTCGTCGATAAATCCACATCTCGAAGGCCTCCAATTTTTTCATTAATATCTCTGTAAGGGTCCAGCTCTCCATACCATATAGCAATGTGGAGAATATGTAGCAGCGTATTAATCTGATTTTAAGGTTTAACATAATATCTCTATTATTATCTCTATACTTATATACTATAAGTAGAATTTTCTTTAATTTATAAAGGCGGCTCTGGCTTTTTCAATGCGTATTCTTATTTATTTATTTATTTATATCCCAGTTATCGATAACGTTTGCGCCTAAATAGGTAATATTGTGGATTATTTGTAACTCTATTCCAAACGCTCTGATGTTCGTTGGTTGTAACTCCGTTTTACTGACAACCATAAGTTTTGTCTTAGAAGTATTAAGTTTTAGCCCATATAATCTATATTCGGTTATCCTGTTTATAAGTTGTTGCAGTCCTCTTCGTTGGAGGCAATAAGTACCGTGTCGTCTGCATATTTTAGTTTGTTGACATTAATTCCGTTGATTTTAATGCCTGTATCTTCAACTAAGGCTTCTTTGAAAATAAATTCGGAGTAGATATTAAAAAGCAGAAGCGATAATGTACATCCTTGCCTCAATCCACGTCGTATTTCCACTGCTTCCGTCGTGTTGTGTCCAATTCGTATATTTGCACATTGATGCCAATACAAATTTTTCATATCTCGGAGGTCTCGGTCATCAATTCCCAACTGTTGCAAGACTCCTTTAAGTTTGTCATGGTTTACTCAGTTAAAGGCCTTTTCGAAGTCAAGAAAATACATATACACCGATTGTTCGATATCTCTACATTTTTGAACCATGAACCATGACCTGCAAACTTTGAAGATAGAAAAGCATAGAAATAATATTTGAACATTTCTATTATTGTAAACTTAAAGAAATAGACCATAACTTGTTTCATTTAATTTGTATAAATAGATTATAAAACATTTTTATGAAGCACACTTGTCCGGATCACACTTTAACTGCGATTGAACGAAGGTGCCATTTTGGCATAAATTGGTAAGACTTATTTGGCAGTTGCGGTGTTGACACTTCAGCTTTGTTTTTATTGTTTACTATTAATTAAACTCTCTTTATTTTTGAACAAAATTAGTGTGATTTAATTCCAAAATGTCACATAAGAAGTTAAATAGTCGTTGTAATGAGATGGTAGCTTCTTTGATTCATTATTTTATAGGGGAACGAGAATATAACAACCCAATTCTACCGTTGACTGCTGTTAGGGAAGTATGTAATGTGTTTTTTATATGTTTATGTAGATACTTAAAATATATATTCTTCTATAAGTATAAGTCTTCTACGATTCTTGTTCCCACTTTAATGGACACTTTATTTTCTTTATACAGAGCTTTTGTAGCTTCTATGAGTTCCGTCTGTATTTCTAATTTGTACATTGCCTTCCACAGTTCTGACCTTGGTACAGAGTCATATGGGTTTCTCAGGTCTACAAATGCCAAATGTATATCTCTATTTTTGCTTTTTTCTTTTCCAACAGTTGTTCCAGTGTGTATATGTGGTCTATGCATGATTTTCCTGCCGTGAAGCCTGCCTGATCCTCCCCGATTTTGCCTTTTATCGCTTGTTCTATCTTTTCTCGCAGTATCTTTCCATATAATCTTCCCATTGATGATATTACGCTTATTCCTCTGTATTATGTGATATACTTGATTAAGTATTGGCAACCAAAGCCCGCTAGATTCTACTGATGGGTTTGCTACACATTTTTCTTCATTAAGTAGCATGAGAGCTGTTTCTTTGATTTTTCTCTTTTTCATGTCTGTTTCTTTGATGAGTATTGGTGCATCTTTCCATTGTACTCTGTGTTTGTTATCCCAGGCATGTTTGCATATCTGAGAGTTGTCAAACTCTCTGTTCTTTATAATGTTTCATGCTCGTTTATCCTGACACTTTGTGATCTTGAGGTTTCTCCAATGTATAAATTCTTCTCCAGTTCTTTGATTTTTCTTGTCTATTGTTGGATTTGGTTTTGGACAGGATATATGTCAGTGTGTTGATTGTTTTAAATGTTGTTTCAATGTTATACTTATTTGCTATCCTTTTCAATTTTTCTGATAAGCTCTTTACATATGGTATCGTTGTCATATTTGAATCTCTTCTTGTGAGTGTTTCTACATTGTTTGTTTTTTTTTCTGTAATATGGCTTTGGCAGAGCCAATTAGCCAGTACATTGTTTGTTGTTTCCTTTATTCAATCTTGTGAAATTACTTGTTTATAAATGACAAAGTGTAAACTTTTGTCAAAACCTTGGTTAGCAGGTTCTTTTCTTCCTCAAATGCATGTTCAGGTGTTTCGGGCTCTATCATATAATCATTTGATAATTCCTTTTTTGATGTTTGTGGTTTGAGTGGTAATTTAAATATCTGTTGGTGTGGGTTAGTTTTCTTTAAACTTTGGTTGCATATTCTATCTCTTCTTTTGTGATTAACACATCAAAAAAAAAAGGTAGTGAATGGTTGTTTTCTTTTTCCATGGTGAATTTGATTGATTCTTCTTTATTGTTGATGCCCATCAGAAATTTATCCAATACTTCTGGTCCGTGACGCCAAATGGAGAACACATCATCTACAAATCATCACCATATTGTAGGTTGCTTGTCTTGTTTGTGTACAATGTTTTGTTCGAAATCTTCCATGAATATATCTGCTAATAATGGAGGTGAGGATGTGCCAATAGCTAATCCGAAATTTTGTTTAAAGAAATCATTAGCTAACTGAAAATAAGTGTTGTCAGTGCAAAGTGTTAGTAGCTCCTTGATACCTAATACATTCAGATTGGATTAATATAACTCTTATTATTTTTAAAGATTTCTCCAATGGTACATTGGTGAAAAGACTAATGATATCAAAACTAGTAGACTAGCATATTCTTGGAATTGTAATCTATTTCTGCTAGTTTTTGCAAACATTTTTATGAGTTTTTGATTAAAGATGTTGCATTGAGTGCTAAAGGTTGTATTATGTCTAGGAGGAACTTTGACAGTCTGCTGCAAATTGGTATGAGGGGTACATTCTCTTTGAGAGTTTTTGGAACTCCTACAAGATCCAGGCCAATGTAGTAAGTGTGTAAGTCCGATTTAGACACGAACTTCGATGTTAAACCATCAAATCCGAAGACGCACGTATCCTACTTACTGCGACAATTATGTTTTTATTTTACCAGAAAAGTTAAATATAAAATAATTATTAGAGATATTAAATGGAAACTAAAACAGAACTACTTTAATAGTAAACAAGTATATAATAATCTCCCGTCGTTAACTGGATGTTCAAATGTGAAAATTTAGTGGAATACAGGGTTGTAACTCGGGCGACACGTACTGAACAATCTCGATCACTAGATTAGGGGAAATGACGTATCGTTGACTAGAACTTGCTTGAAATTAATTTTTTTTTTTAATATAAAATACTGATTTATTTTATGTAGCGAGTAGTTATTAAGAAATAGTCTGTGACGTCAATTGCGAAAATAAGCTTATTATTATGTAACTTAAAATTATACCTCCATTTTAGTGTGATGTGTATTCAAAGTATTCTCAGAATTTTCTTCAGGTCCTAGTAAATCTCCTCTGGATATTAAAGTACACATGTAGGCATCATGAGAGAATACATCACGACGAATAAGTTCAGAAAAGAGATGAACTAAGTTCGAAAACGCAGTCTTTTTCTAAAAAAATATAAAATTATACTTCTACTAAATAAAATATCTTAAAACTAAAATACCATCGAACAATCATCAGGTGCGGGAACTGGTGCGTCGTTGTCCAAAAACTTCATTAATAGCGATTGAAACATTGGTGGACCACCTGGAACACTACTGCTGGAATCTTTGTCATCACCGGGAGTAGTTTCTTGATCTCCTGCTGTATTTGTATCTGATTGCCTTCTGTCAAGTAGAGCTGCTACAGCTAGAGCTCTATGTTCGCCAGTACGTTCGGGAGATACTGCCCATTCACACAGCAATTTAACTACCGCGTTCTCTTGATCATTTGGTCCACTAAATATCTGAAAAATTATATGAAATTAACACTGAATCGCTTGAATATTATAAATATCTCGTTCAAATTGCTTACTTTTGCGTATAACGTATCTAAAGAATTTGTCGCATCCATTTTGTCAAATCGGTGACGATCCAAAGCGTCTAGAGCAGACAGTACCCTTGTAGTAACAGTCCCTAAAATAAAATAATATTTATTTACTACACTCACAAAGATAAAAAAAAGTTGTAGGCAAAGAAATTTACAAAATTACAAGTAGAATTTTTTTCTGGCCGAGATATTTTTTCCTTTATCATCTTTCTGAGGACCTCAACATTTGTTATCTATCGGTCTACCGGTCTACCCAACTTATTTTTAATATTCTTCGGTAGGTCCACATCTCAATGCTTCAAGTCGATCACTTACCTCTTTCTTTAAGGTCCAGTCCTCCACCCCATACAACAGCACCGAAAACACATATGAATGTAAACTTCTTATTTTGAGTTGTAAACTAAGGTCTCTACTGCATAATACTTTTCTCATCTTATTAAATGTTGCTCTAGCTTGTCCAATTCTCATTTTTATTTTTACTGTATACTCGTTATTTTCATTTATAATTGTACCAAGATATCTGTATTTTTTTTTACTTTTTCTATTGGAACCTCTCTTATGTTTAAAATGTCTTGTTGTTGTGTTTTGGAAATTGTCATAACTTTTGTTTTTTTTAGCATTAAGCGTTAGTCCGCTTTCTTCATTCAATATTCTTCCCATTTTTCTGTTGTTATTGGTGATATAACGTCTCTTTTCTTATTAGTTCTCATACTTTTAATAAATCTCGAACTCTCTGTGCTTCTTCTACCTCCTATGTAGGTGTTGATCTTTTGGTAGTTCTGTTCCCATGATTCATTCTTTTTTTGATTTATCTTTTTTCTTACTTTGGCTTGTGCTTCTTTGTAAATTGTTTTATCATTTTCTGTTTTTTTTGTTGTTGTTAAGAATGTTTGGAATTTCCGACGTTTATCTCTAATTTCCTTTCCTATTTCTTCATCCCACCAGTATGGTTTTATTCCTTTATGGTTTTCGTTACATTTCCCCAGTGCTTCTTCTGCTGCTAAATGAATCGACTGTGTTCGTAGTGTTCCTCGGTATTTTCAAAACTACCCATTTCTAATTTTTGGTCTAATCGTATATTAATATCATGTTAATATCATTAATAGTTATTATAAATAAAGTGGAACTTGAACTGATACTTGGGGTACCCCATTTTCTTGAACGTAGGTTTAGGAAGCTTTTCCGTAAATTAATACTTTGAAGTGGCGATTAGAAAGAAACCGTTCAATAAAAGATAATGTATCTCCCGTAATATTGTATTCTTTTAATTTGGCCAATACAGTTGAACGTAATAGAGTGTCGAAGGCTCACTCGACACCAAATGATGTTGCTATTAAATCTTGCTTATTTTGAAAGGCAGTTGTGATATCTGTTTGTAACATTACCAAGTTGTCAGCCGTGCTTCGTGAATTTTGTGTTTTTCTAGATACCACATAAGTCTTTTGAACCTTTGAACCTCTGTAATTCAGAAACAATTGATTTCCCAGTCTTGGAACATTGATAACTTTTGATCAACATGACCAAAGCTACCTTGCTGCAAAGTTTCCCATTCTTTAACATTAGAATACTCGAGACATAAATATGATGCAAAATAAAATAAAATATTATAACAGTAAAATAAAATGTAAGATTACCTGCTGGTGAAGCTTGCCACTTCTCGGTGCACCATCTTCCTTCTGCCTTTTTACTCCTATCTCTAATACAATTTTCAGCAAACATGATCTGTTTTCTATATGTATTCATATCACATCGGGGTGGCATCGGTAACATGGACGGTAATATGGGTAAACTATCCAATGGGGATCCGTGCCAAATGGTACCAACACCTGTCCCACACCAAACTAATGCTGTAGGACATTCCAATACAACTGTCTGGATAATAGTACTTAACTGCAAAACTAATAAATTTTTGATTTCAATATGACTATTCTTTACTTTCAGTAAATTGTAGCAGTATTAAAATGGTAGTAGTATGGAAATAGGTAAAATATAAGGAGAAATAAAGAATGGTAAATAAAAGAAGTATGAAATAAGAAAGAGATAAAATTTCTAGATAAATTAGGTTGAAATCAATCATGTAAAAACTAAAAGTAGGCATCTGGTATTAACAGAAAAAATCTGTACTAGCAAAATTTATTTATTGGTATGGGATGAGAATAATAATAATTATTATATAATTATTATCATCAACCAGCCTTCCACATACAAAGTTAATTATATGCCTCTCCTAATTTCTTCCAGGTTTGGCGGTCTTGAGCTTCCTGTAGCCAATTCCCAGCAATTCTTTTGACGTCATCTTTTGTCCATCATATAGGTAGTCTACCTCTGCTTCTTCTATCTGCTCGTGGTCTCCACACTGAAACTTTTTGGGTGGAACAGCCATCATTCATTCTGGTCACATGGGATGAGAGTATTACAAAATATATAACAATTACTTAGTATAGAAATATATATAAATGCTACAAGATAAAAGCAAAAGAACAACAGTGTAGCTAGATATTAAAAAAAATTAAAGACAAGCTAAAGCAGGTGCTACAAACAGAATAAACTGGAGAAAAACTACTACCACTTACACCATTAGTAAAATAAGATGGATAAAGTAAAGTATTTAACATACCTATATCTCGATGATGAGGACAGTTTTGATATTCAACCATATTACTTTGAAGGGGATTCGTAGAAGTGGTCTCTTTCTTTTCTTTTTCCGTTTCCTTTGGTTCTGTTTTGCTTTCACTGGGTGGAGATGTCATCACATTGGTTTCTGCCACATTCGTAAGCATACTGCCCAGTTTTTTGGCACAGTAATGTGCTAATCTTCGTGACAACAGTTCTGATTGAACAAATTCATCTAAATACTGAAGAGTTAGAGGTAGAAACAGTCTTAAAATACCATCGTCACCTGGCAGTTGGGCTTTTTGTTTTTCAAGTAATTCTACTATCCAGTTCAGAACCTCCTGTCTGTCTGTCAGTCCTGTATAAACCAAATCAATATTATAATCAAATTACATAACATTCAGCTGTCTAGACAGGACTGTCTTACGGATTTAGGTGTTTATTTTGATTGTAAATTAGCATTTCGTAAGCATCTAGAGGTCACAGTAATCAGTGCATTTAAACAATTAGGGTTTATAACTAGAAACACTTCTCAATGTTCATGTTTTGTTTTACCAAATCTTTTTAATGCAATAGTTGTATGGGGACCTTACTATCAAACATCTATAGACAAGCTTGATCGTGTTCAGCATAAATTTGGTAAACACTATCATTACTGTAGTGCTTTTCATGACCTTTCATGTACCTATTATATAGAGAGACTATATAATAGGTACTAAAGTGATCTGGACTTATTTTTCCAGTCCTTGGAACAATTTAAAAATGTGATAAAGAGACTGCTATTTGTGTGATATTAGTTTGTATTCAAGTTAATTATTAGTTTTTGTTAAACTTACTAATTATTTTCCAATGTTATGCTTACTTTATCTTATCTCTAAGATTTACTATAACCAGAAAGCAAATATCCGAATAGAGCAAGAGACAACGGAGGAAATAGAGATCAAGAAAGGCGTAAGACAGGGTTGTATACTCTCACCGACCTTATTCAATCTATACTCCGAAGACATTATAAACACAGCACTTTCGGATCAAAATATAGGTATTAAGATAAATGGCATCCGAATAAACAACTTGAGATATGCCGATGACACGGTACTAATCGCAGAAACTTGGGAAGATCTTCAAATACTAATTAACAAAATCCACAAGGAATCTACGTTCCTGTAGTTGGCTGTATACCATGTATTAAAAATTTAATTAAAAATCCTTTGTAAAAGGTATATTTTAGGCCCAAACGGGCTAAGTTAAAAAGACAAAACGTTTTCGGAAACCATGTTCCATCATCAGTGTCTAGGGGTACATGAATGAAGCCACCAAGATTAAATATGTGGGTAAAAACCCGATTACATATGTTTAATTACATTTAGTTTTAAATTAATGTTGATATAATATAAGATTACAAAGTTACCGATGGATTTGGTAACATGGCGACATATGACTCCACGTTGAAGTTGCTAGTCCTGAGACGGTATGTCTTCGAGGACTATGTCTTCAGTTGCACTCATATAGTCCTCGAAGACATACCGTCTCAGGACTAGCAACTTCAACGTGGAGTCATATGTCGCCATGTTACCAAATCCATCGGTAACTTTGTAATCTTATATTATATCAACATTAATTTAAAACTAAATGTAATTAAACATATGTAATCGGGTTTTTACCCACATATTTAATCTTGGTGGCTTCATTCATGTACCCCTAGACACTGATGATGGAACATGGTTTCCGAAAACGTTTTGTCTTTTTAACTTAGCCCGTTTGGGCCTAAAATATACCTTTTACAAAGGATTTTTAATTAAATAATTAACAAAATAGTAAAATGCAGTGAAGAACACGGATTATCACTTAACATAAGCAAAACAAAAATAATGCTAATATCTAAATCACCACAAAACTTCCCTGACATAACCGTGCATGATCAAAGAATCGAACGTGTAAGAAGATATAATTACCTGGGAACTGTTATCAACGAAAATAATGATTGCTCTGAAGAAATCAGAACCAGAATAGAGAAAGCTAGAGCCACATTTACTAAATTGAAAAAGGTGTTCTGCGGAAGAGATCTAAGTCTAAAACTTAAAATTCGCCTTTTGAGATGTTACGTTATGTCAGTTCTCCTCTACGGGAAGGAAACATGGACATTGAAAAAGATCGATACCAAAAAGATAGAAGCATTTGAGCTGTGGATGTATCGTAGAATATTAAGAATACCCTGGACAGAGAAAGTAACAAATGTGGAGGTTTTGCGGAGAGTGCGGAAAGAGAAAGAGCTGATACTTACTATTAAAAAGCGCAAACTACAATATTTGGGACATGTTATGAGGGGAGATAAATACCAGTTGCTGCAATTGATTATACAGGGAAAGATAATGGGAAAGAGATCTATAGGAAGAAGAAGGCATTCATGGTTGAAAAACTTGAGAGAATGGTACAATTGCACCAATTACCAACTGTTTAGATCTGCAGCATCAAAAATACGCATAGCTTTGATGATAGCCAAACTTCGGAACGAAGACGGCACTTGAAGAAGAAGATGCTTACTTTGTAAAATTTTATATATTATATTTTGTTCCCATGTAAATGGTATATCCCTTAATAAATAAATAAATACATAGTATGCCTATTAATTTATAGTATTAAAAATTTCATTTTTTACTACATGTATAATAATATACAACATAATAAGACTGAGTTTTACAAGTAACATGTTCTAATAGGGTATCTCAAATAATTATTCATGGGCAGTAAAAATATCTAAATTATTTGAACTGTTTCTAAACAAAAGTTCCTATCAAAATGGAAATCAAGAAAGTATTTGATTTCCATTTTGATAGGAACTTTTGTTTAGATTTCAAAATGTTTTCACTGGTAACATTACTAATGATTTGACATGATTTTATTTCCAATATGTAATTATCAATTAAAATACTGTAGCCTATGGGAGTTCTATGAAACATATGAAACAAAAAATGTTTTTTTTGAACTGAAGAGCTAAAGATTTTGAACCAATTAATCAATAAAAATAAATATTACCTTCTTCATACATATATTTTAAAAGCCTTGTACAATAATTCCAATGGCGCATGGCAAGCTTCTGTTCAGTCTCATTTGTATGAGTTGCATTCAATGTTGCATTTGTAGGTTTTTCAGCTTGAGAATACAGTTCCTGCAGCTTGGGAACTTGATCTTTAAGGAATTTTAAAGTTGTACCCGTCCACTCTGAAATAAATCAGTGAAATATATTATAATGTTTTACAAACAATATTAATTGCATTTAATTAATACCTAGATATGTAGATCTAGGTTCCAATTTGTGTCATTAAGAACAGATAACCAGTGGAAACTCTAAAATTAGGCAAGCAAGGCACCCTCCCAAACAAAATCCTATGAAGATAGTGTATACATACACTGCCGCGTAACGATAAAGAGGTCACCTAGAATTTTGAAGAATTTTTCAATAAGTTTATAAAATTTATTCTATTGTAACTAAATTCCCATAATGCAGAAATACTTTTAGCGTCTTTTAGGCACCGACAAACGGTGCCGACAGGTCAACTAAGAGTAATAGGTTTGCAGAATTGATATCAGTTTTACAACTTCGGATAATGCATGTGTTCTTCTTCTTCTTTAAGTTCCATCTTCTATCGAAGGTTGGAAATCATCATGGCTATGCGGACTCTGTTGACTGCCGTTCTAAAAAGTTCTGCACTACTGCATTCAAACCATTCCCTTAAGTTCTTAAGCCAGGATATTCTTCGTCTTCCCACATTTCGCTTTCCTCGGATTTTGCCCTGCATAATAAGTTGTAATAATGCGTATTTTTGCCCTTTCATCACATGTCCCAAGTACTCAAGTTTTCGTCTTTTAATAGTTAATATTATTTCCGCCTCATTTCCTGTCCTTCTAGTTACTTCCATGTTTGACATTCTTTGAATCCATGATATTCGTAGGATTATTCTGTAACACCAAAATTCAAAGGCGACCAACTTATTCAGATGAACTTGTTTTAGTGTCCAAGCTTCCAAACCATAAAGAAGAGTAGAGAACACGTAACATCGAAGCATTCTCAGGCGTAGTTCTAACCTTATATCCCGACAACAAAGAAACTTTTTAAGTTTAATAAATGATGTACGTGCTATTTCAATACATGTCTTAATTTCTTTGGTTTGGTCTACATCTGATGTTATCCATGTTCCTAAGTATTTATAGCTATTAACACTCTCAATTGCAGTATTTGCAATTTGTCAATTGGATATTTGCATGTGCAGATTTAGTCATGATCATGCATTTAGTTTTCTTTAAATTTATCTTCAGTCCGTACTCATGACAGCGTTCATTAAGGCGTTGCATTACGTTCTGTAAATCATTGTTGTTATCCGTAATTATTACTGTATCGTCTGCAAAACGTAAGTTATTCAAAACTTCTCCATTGATAGATATACCTTCCAGTGAGTCTGAGAGCGCTTCTTGAAATACCGCTTCACTGTAGACATTGAAAAGTAGTGGGGACAGCACGCAACCCTGGCGGACTCCTCTCTGTATTTTGATATTTTCGGTGTACTGGCTGTAAACTGTTACCTTGGCAGTTTGATTCCAATATAAATTAGATATAATTTTCAGATCACGACTGTCAATATTTTTGCTTTTTAATATATCTACAAGCTTTTTATGTTGAACTGTATCAAATGCCTTTTCAAAGTCTACAAAACATAAGTACATATCCTGATTCATGTCCATGCATCTCTGAGCCAGCACATTCTCCGAACAAAGCATCTCTTGTACTCATACCATTTCTAAAGCCAAATTGTGTGTCACTAATCTCATATTCAAGAGTTTTAATAATTCTGTTGTGAATTATTTTCAAAAATGTTTTAAGTGTGTGACTCATTAAAGCTATTGTTCTGTGGTCTGAGCAAGTTGTTGAACTTGGTTTTTTGGGAATTGCTACAAGGGTTGATTGCAGCCATTGTCTGGGGATTGTGGCAGTCTGATATATTAGATTAAAGAGTTCAACCATTACATCAATAACATCTTCATCGATGAGTTTTAATAATTCGATGGGCACCTCATCTGGTCCAGTAGCTTTACCCTCTTTTGTGTTTTTGATGGCATAGATGACTTCCTCTCTTAATATTGGTGGTCCGGAATCCTCGGTGATTTCTAGTGACAGTTCTTCTCTTTCATCATTAAACAGTTGTTGAATGTAATTGGTCCAGTGACATAATCTCTCCTTCATATCAGTAATAATATCCCCTTTATCATTTTTAAGGATATTCGTTTTTGTACGCTTTCTAGAACCTGTCATTTCTTTGATTTTTTTGTGTAAATTAAAGCTATCATACTTTTTATCCAGATCTTCTATTTCCTTGCATCTGTCGGAGAGCCACCTGTCTTTTGCCTCTCGAATTTTCTTTCTGATGTTTCTCTAAATTTCTTTGTATTTATTCAGGTCTTTTGCTTTATGTTTTCTTCGTTCTTCCATGAGTTCAAGAATTTCTACTGTCATCCAAGGTTTTGTTTTTTCTTTAAGTGGTTTGAGGGTTTCTTTGTCAACTGATACAAGGGCATGTTGAATTTTTCCCCGTTTTTGGTCAATAGTTAGAGTTTCTGCATTACCTTCTTTGACTTTCCTTAAGCTCTCGTTTATTTTAAATTTGGTTTCCACGTATGTGTTGTCTTGTTTGAGACATCTTGTATCTATGATTTTGTGACGTCTTCGAAACGATATGCTGCTTGTGTTCGAAGAGTATGTGTTGCTTTTGGAGGAGGTTCGGTAATGTTTTGGGCAAGCATTTCATTTGAGGGCCATACTGATCTCGTATTTATTGATAGAGGAGCGTTGAATGCACACCGATACATTACCGAAATTCTAGACGAGTATGTAATGCCTTTTGCTGGGTTTGTCGGCGAAAACTTTATTTTTATACAAGACAACGCGCGGCCACACAGAGCCAGGATGGTAACGCAATATCTGGAAACTGTCGGTGTGCCAAAAATGAACTGGTCGGCTCAAAGTCCAGATTTGAACCCGATTGGACATGTTTGGGATCAACTCAAACGTAGGGTAACAAACAGAATACCTGCTCCAATAAATCGTGAGCAGCTTCGGTTGGTGCTCATAGAAGAATGGGAAGCTTTTCCTCAAAATGACATCCAGAATTTGATCGATTCAATGCCAAATTGAATGTGGAGTGTAATTCACAATAGAGGTGGTAATACGCAGTATTAATAATCAACTTAATTGTAATTTTATAAAGAAAACAGAAGAAATGTACAATGTTAATTTTTTTTTATTTTTCAATAAATCATTATTTTGGAAGAAGTTATTTTTTAACATTTGTTATTTAAAAAATTATTGCATACTGCTTTAGAACATATTCTTCAACATTACACAAACATCTAATGACAATCACTTTGTGGTATGATTCGTAAAAATTAAAAAATGGCAAATATTTTAGGTGGCATCTTTTTCGTGATGCTCAGTGTACAATAAAACTTTGTCTAAATCTCTAATGTATTACTGTTTATGCTAATTGTATATAAAAACTTAAAAAATACTAAGGCGAATCTATGGAGCGGTAAATGAAAATGGTGTCTAGAGAAGACGATAACAACTTCGAACTCTATAGAATATACCAGGAACCAGATATCGTAAAACACATTAAGATACGTCTGAGGTGGGTAGGCCATTTAATGGAGATGGAGCAAACTGACCCAGCTATAAAAACGCTCCTTGATAGACCTATTGGTCAAAGAAGAAGAGGAAGACCCAGAACAAGATTCCTAGATAATATAGACTAAAATATGAGAAATATGGAAATACATGCTTGGCAGAGGAAGGCGATGGATAGGGACAACTGAAAGAGAATTCTTGGGGAGGCTAGGACCCACACAGGGTTGTAGAGCCAAAATGATGACGATGATATAAAAACTTATTTATTAGGAACTAGATTAAAACAGTTATCAAAAGCATTTATTAGAGTTCAAACTTTCGAATTTAATACACACATATATATATATATATATATATATATATATATATATATATATATATATATATATATATATATATATAACCTTTTTATTTTCTTTCAACCACAGTTAATTTTGAGGTTAATTTATAGCCAATAAAAACATTTAAATTCAAAAATATTTATGAGTGTTTGTAGTGATTAGATAAACCTCAAATCTGTTCTAGTGCTACACAAGACACAACAATTACTAATCACATTAATCTTAGTTAAGTCTTACCAATTGGCTAGAGTAGTATAATATGAAAATTTGGCCCAAGCTGTGAAACATTTGTGACCCTAGCCAGTGAAGATAAAAGCATATGGGGTGATAATGAAACTGTTTGCATATTGAAGGTTTTTGGTGGTATGAATTAAAGTTAACACAAGTGACTGAATGGACAACAGAAAGAAGAGGTTTTAGTAGCATTTTCTAAGGATGTGTGACCAAAAGATAATTGGATACATGGATGTGAAAAGAAATTTATTGTACTGTTTTTCCTGTTTATTTTTACAGTACATACTGCATCATGTAAGTGCTCTAGATTGTCAAAGGTGAGAATCAAAAATCTTCACATTTTGAAAAGATGAAGAAGCATGAACTGAACTATCTCTAGCTGATATTTCTGATAGAAGGGATGAAAATATCTAATACACTCTCAAGACAAGTCCCAACAAACAAGAGTATAGAGTTTGTACAGTTTGTACCAAATTTTGAAATACAAATTCAATACTGAAACTGACTTAATCTTATTTATTTATTTTATTTATCAAAGGGCAATGGCCCAAATAAAATAAAATGTAAACCTTATTGATAAATTACAGTTAATTCTAACGTAACCTACTTAACTTCAATTTAACAATTTTAATCATACAAAAAATAAAAGTTGGAACTGTAAATAACAAACATTAACAAAGAATGTACAAAACACAAGGACATCAAGCTATCACACACAGTTCTTAAGCTGAGCTTTAAATTCTTTTGGAATACTATAACAATCCAACCTTTGGGAATAATGATTAGCAAACGTTGGTGTTCTAGAATGGAATGAATTGAGTCTGTTGTTTGTGTGATCGGGTCTAACGTAAAAGGGTTTATTTAGCCTTGTTTGTCTACTGGGCACATGGAGATAAATTGTTTCCAATAGTTGGGGACAAAAAATAATAGAGTGCAGTATACTATAAAACAGGGGTCACCAATTATATTCCCTGACAGTCCGTTTCAAAAAACAACTACACTTCCACGGTCCCGACACTCAGCACTAAAGCAGGCAGTGGCTTAACCAGGGGGCACCCAAAAACCCCGTAGTAGTTGTAACCCCCCTTAGGAGATCATCCTGGTTACGTAGTTGAAACCAGGCAATCAGGCCACCTAGTTTAGGAAGGAGTATGAAATAAAATCAAGGTTATTATATGTTGTTATATTACTAAAACCATTATATTGTTTTTTCTCCTGTCTTTGGTTATTAAATTTTTACTGCATAATGCATTTGCTTCTTCGCTGATCCATACACCATTAGGCTTGAGTGAAAAACTTATGCTTAACAGTTGCACAACATTTTTTCATTTTGTGGAAATCAGCAAATCTTTTTCAAAATTCAAATCAAGTTTATTAATAAAACGTGAGAACTATGTAACATCAATATCTTTATTACTATCACAAACGGATTTAAGGAGAGGAAAATGCAAAAATTCTGCTTAATATCCCCAGAAAAAAGTTCAATCTTTTTAGAAAAACTTCTAATATCCAACAGAAGTTTACGACCAAGTTTTCCCTTGCGTGTTAATTTTAAATTCAAGAATTTCAGATGTCTGAAGATATCCACCAATAATGCGATAGTTGCAACGTTTTCTGTGTCCAAGACGAAGCCCAAATGGTTATTTGCAGCTTCATTCATCATCAATAGTTACAGCAGCATCAATAGTGGACAGAAATTCTTTTATGTTTAGTATTACAAGTATTTCTATATAGTATTAGTACTGTGCATTTTAAAAATGTAAACATATTTATAAATTTAGATTTGATTACAATTTTACACTACAATTTTATTACTATATTTTGAATTTAACAGCGGTCCGGAAAAAACAAGCTTAAGGTCCAAATGCGGATCGCGGTCCGCTATTTGGTGACCCCTGTTATAAAACATAGTGAGATCCTTGTGCATGCGTCGGATTTGGAGAGAAGTTGTTTCTTTTCCTTATTCTAATTAACTATTCAAATATGGACCTTTCCATATTTGAATAGTTAATTTCTTCAATCCTCTGGTTTTGTTTAAATGCAACAAATCTTAAGAATTTGTGTTGAACTCTCTCAATAGCTTAAATATGGGTGTTATAGTGAGGAGACCAAACACATGAACAGTATCTAGGTGGGGTCTCACAAGTGAACAATACAAAAATTTTATGGATGGGATATTTAGAAAAAGTCTTTAGCACAACATTTAATAAACCCTAAAAGTTGAAGTGATTTTGAGACAACACATGAGATATGAGGGATGTAGGATAAGCTGGAACACCTAGGTCTTTTATCTGAGATACAGAGTCTACAGGGGAACCATTGATAGTATAGATATGATTTGTAGGAGTTTTATTCTGACCAAAAACTATTAAATGACACTTTTTAACATTAAGTTCCATTCCGTTGCTATCATACCAATAGCTCAACCGATCCAAATCAGACTGTAGATTTTGATAGTCACCATCATTCTCAATTTTCAAATATAATTTTAAATTGTCAGCAAACATTAGGAAAGAAGCAAAGAGGAAACAGGAGGCAATGTCATTAACATAGTTATTGAATAGAAGAGGTCCTAGATCTAAACGATTGAAAACACTGAACACATACTATTTGTATTCTTTCAGTTAGGTAGGATAACAACAAATATAAAAGTTCACCCTGGATACCCAGACTTCTCAACTTATTGATTAAAATCTTGTGATTTACCCAGTCAAAAGCCTTTGTAAAGTCTGTGTATACAGCATGAACCTGGAAGCCATCTTCAAGAGATTCTGTAAGGAAATTAGTAAATGTCAATAAATTAAGTTTAGTGGAGCGACCAAATTGCTGGTCGATAAAAGAGCCTTTTAAAGTTGCTGACAAATAGTCACAGACAAGGCTCTCAAAGACTTTGGGTATACAACTTGGAATGCTAATAGGCTGATAATTGTTCACTTGAGAATTTTCTCCAGATTTTAGTATTGGGATAATAAAGCTAGTTTTCCAGTAGATTGGGAACATCCCTGTCTTTAATGACAGGTAAAAAATGTGAAAAAGAGGTCTACAGTAAAAAGCTAAAGTGTTTAAGAAAATAAGGTGGAAGACCATCTGGACCTGGCCCCTTGTTGCTATCTTACAAAAAAGAACAAATTTATACCAAGAACAAGATCTCAAACATACACAAGAATTGATTATTCTTTGCTGTATTATTTAATATTTAATATGTTAAAACAAAATAAATAATTAAATCTTACCTGTAGTAGGATCAGGCATTTGTCTCTTTTTAATTTTAGCTTCTGAAACGGCAACTGTATATGCAGAACTTAACTTAATAAACCAAGCTGCTCTGAGCATGGGAACTTGATATTCAGTCAGCATCACAAATATTTCTTCCTTTTTGTTAAAGTTGGGTGCTCTCTTAGACAGATTCATTAAAGGTTTATTTCCAGACAAATCCTTAAACCAGGCTTCTATGTGATTCTTTGTTCTATTTGTTACTGGCCAAAAGTTGTCCTTTGGATTTATCTGTTGTCTTTTTCTACCAGAATCTGGTAACATCGAGAGCTCTTCTTTGCGAGAAATAATTGCATTAAAGTAGGCTCCAACCTAAACAAGTAAGATAGTAATATTACCTACCTCTGGAAACATATAATAGTATAATTGCTAATCTAATATAACTGTTTTAACATTATTTTAGTGTACCACAATCACTAAAGCCTATTGGTTAAAGAGTCTATTGCAATTGGTTAGTGATATTAAATACATTTTTAAATGTTACAATGAAAAATATATAACAGCTTATTTATTCAATAACCTGTAATTGATTTTAATTTTGCAGATGTTATTCGTGTTTTCTGTTTTATTTTTATCATTAAATATAAACATTTTCGATAATAGATACCTTGCTAGCTGTGACATTACAATTTCTGGCGGTTCCAAATTCATCGCTGAGGTGGGTCATTGTAGGAAAACCATGTTTAACATTAACACTAGTTAGTTCATCCTCTTTTTGCTTTGGCTCTTGAGGATATACATCGGGGGGCCCAATTCGAGGCTTTTTCAAAGGCCGTTTCTCGTATAGAAAGTTTGTATTAAACATTTTGACTTAAAATTATTAACTGGTTATTAATTTTAACTTAGTAAAGGATATTATATAATAATTTTGTTTGATACGTCTTATATTTATTTAATCATTATAAATAATTATTGTGTATACAAAATGCCAACAATTACAACGCCATTTTGAATTAAATGTAACTATTGTCATTGTCAGTGTCAACTTCTTCTTCTTCCGTTTCTATGTTGTAATGACCTACTGCAGGAATAGACCTTCAAGTTATACCAGTGGTTCCCAAAGTGTGTCCGTCGCGTCGCGACCCCTGGGTGGTCACGTTAAAGCTGAGGGGGACGCAAAGTTTATTTCATAACTTAAATAAAAACATGCCAAAAAACATAACGCAGTAATTATCATATTATTTTCGTTTATTCAGAAATATAAACTTGACTACCTTGTAAAACTTAAATAATAATTAAACACTACATAAAAATACATTACAAGTGAACTCGCATAAATAAGACTGCAAACGGAACCAACCACTCGAGAGTTTGTCTCGCCAATTCGGGGTATTCTTTCTTCCTTCCTAGTTTAAAACTGTTCTAAAGTTATTTTCTTGTGGCATTTTAAATTAATTACTATTTAACTGGGAATAAGCCACATAAAGGTTAAAATACGTTGATTGACGTTTCAATTTCCACTTCGAAAATCGTTCTCAAAATACAAACAGTAAATTAAACAAATTTTGTTTTTTTGTTACCTATATAGTGAAAAATTCTTCTAATAATTTAATTTTATCTGACTCATTTATATTGACAATTCAGACACACATTATGCATTTTAAAGTAGACGACTTTAAAATGACATTGCCAATATTGTTAAGTTGCGCTCCTGGGACGACTTTACTAATAAGATAGTTCATTCGATTACATGAAATCAACTTTAACTTGAGAATATCCGCCAGAAAAAAATCATAGCATGTAATTCGTCTTTAAAAAGACAAACACATGACATGATGACAGTAAAATTCTCCTGTTAGTGATTCCATAGTAAATTATGAGTGAAAACCAGGATAAAAACCTCATAATACTATCTCGACATGGTAAGTTTTTGGTCGTGCATATAGTTTTCCGCCAATAAACACCAAATTCTGATTTTATATGTTTATTGTTATTTAAAAAACATAAATAATGTATCCTCTATATGTTACTGACATACTAATACTGGTATTTTCTTATTAATAACTTCCTCTTTCAATATGGGTAACCAGATCCTACTACATTGTGCCGAGAAATTTGCGATACAATTGGTCTCATTTAGCATAATTAGAGCCGCTTCTTTGATTTTTTTTACCATTCGTTTCTTTTAGGGCTACATTTGAATTATTCCATTGAACCCTATGTTCATTATCCCATGCGTGTTTACATATTTGAGATCTATCGAATTCTCTATTTTTAATATAAGATTGATGTTCACTTATTCTAACATTTAATGGCCTTGATGTTTCACCTAAATAAAACTGATCGCATTCACAAGGTATTTTATAGATACAATTCTTTGTCCTTTCTTGTTCATTGTTAGGTTTGGTTTTGGACAAAATAGATCTCAACGTGTTTGTTGTTTTGAATGCTGTTGAAATGTTAAATTTATTTCCTATCCTAAGTTTTCTCATAATTTACTATGCAATCACTAACGGGAAAATTTTACTGTCATCATGGCATGTGTTTGTCTTTTTAAAGACGAATTATATGCTATGATTTTTTTCTGACGGATATTCTCAAGTTAAAGTTGATTTCATGTAATCGAATGAACTTATTAGTAAAGTCGTCACAGGAGCGCAATTTAACAATATTGGCAATATCATTTTAAAGTCGTCTACTTTAAAATGCATAATGTATTTCTGAATTGTCAATATAAATGAGTCAGATAAAATTAAATTATTAGAAGAATTTTTCACTAAGTAACAAAAAAAACAAAATTTGTTTAATTTACTGTTTGTATTTTGAGAACGATTTCCGAAGTGGAAATTGAAACGTCAATAAACGTATTTGTATTTTTAATTGTGGCCTATTCCCAGTTAAATAGTAATTAGTTTAAAACTGATCCGGAATTTGGGAAAGCAGTCTAGATTATAAAATTCCATCACAATAAATTTTTCTTTGATTTTTGCTGGAATATCAACTTGTTGAAAAGAATCGTTTAAAAAAGAATTTAGTACCCATCTGTACTTGTCATGGCTGGTTTTGAATTTCTTTGGGGAAATATTGACAGGGTTATTTATTAACATTACAGACTGGGAAGCTAAAGGGAGTTTTAGAATAGATCTTCGTATTTTGAATTATCATCTGTTATCAGTATGTGTGTTATCATAGATATACGGAGACTTTGGCTTTTACATAAATTCTGACGAGCTAAAAAGGAATTTGTTCAATTAATTAATCCTGTCAATTTATTTGCAGCAAAAGCGTTGATAGGGTTGCCCTAAGCTGTGATCCACTGGCTGCCTAGAAAACTATTTATTAGTTTTTTTTTATTCCGTATAATTCTTTTTTAAATTGTAGGTAGTTGTAGTCCAGGATGAGTTATGGCTACCTTTATTCATTTTTCGTGGTATAAAACAGTGTAATCTGGAAAAATTTATGACTCACAGGATAAGTGCCTAATTAGCTTTTTTATTGTCAAATTAATACAATATCTGTGAAAATTAAAATAAAAAGTACTTTTATTATTAGAGGTAATGGATTTTGATAAGAGATATGATTCATGCTGATGCGGTACACAAGTTTACATGTTATTTACAAGGTCATAGCTCTTGTCAAAATCCATTACCTATGACAGCTAAATGTTGTGGGTGTAACGATCGTCAGTAATTTGTTATTTGTTCATTATTAGAAATGGTTAAGCAATGCAGAGATGCACTAAGTGTACAGCATGTTTATAACGCTGATTGACGGTCTTACACCGATTAAAAGTACGGCTGAATATTCTTTATGTTATATTAGCAATATAAATATTCAATTGTATGAATTTCATATAAAGTCTGAAATGACTTTTTAATTAAAACATTTAGATATCTTCATATACGTGACTGGCGTATGATCCTCTGTGTTCAATATAGTTGATTATTATTTTTTTATAGTTTAAAATCATCTAAAGAACATCTCGTACATTTTGGCAAAGTATGAATATACGTCAATTTTCATATTCAACATTTCACATTCAAGTCAATTTTTTTATGACTTTCATCACAAACTCCACCGCTACTGGAGCAACTGATGCTCACAGCTTATAGCTCTCAAGTATACAAAAAAACGGGGAAAATTTTTTATTTATAGAATTCTCAGTCCCTATGAAATGACTTGTTCAAAACTATGAAAAAAATAGCGCTACCTCCCCTACTATTAACATGGCCCTCCTACATCTGCCCTTATTAGACAAGGAAAGACAGTCTCTCTCCTTGTCTAAGCATCTGCCCATGGTTTAGGGAATTTTTGTTTGCACAATATTTTATTTGATGGAACTTGTCATTGACAACGTCATCCGTCAACACTACACGTGAATTCATATAAAAACCTCTTTATTCAGAATTTGCCGATTGCATACGGCATCTTTTGAACAGTTGATAGTTTAAGTTTTAGACCCTTTAAATTAATCATAGACATAAAAAACGATGGCTGATGCAGCTGGAGAACCTTTGTCAAAAAAGTAAGTCCATCTGAATTGAGAAATATAAATTTGTTTCCTTAACCTACACCATGATGCAAACTCTTAGACTTGTGAGGAAACAATTCTTTTCAATCGATTCGGGAATATTACAAAAAAGTAAAAGGTAAATATGAACTATACTTCAACCTAAACTAATTATACAATTATTTTATTTTAGTGAGCTTAAAAGACGGCTCAAGGCTGAACAGAAAGCCAAAGAAAAGGCCGAAAAAGCTGCACAACAGCCTGCTCAACCCCAGAAGAATAAAGAAACAAAACCCAGTGAAGAAGAAATTAGTCCAAATGAATATTTTAAACTTAGATCAACAGCTATAGATAAACTAAAGGATATAGGGGGTGAACAGTCTCCTTATCCCCATAAATTCCATGTTTCCTCATCACTTGAGAATTTTATAGAGAAATATTCATATTTGAAAGACGGTGATATTCTAGAGAATGACCAGCTTAGTGTGGCAGGAAGAATTCATGCTATTAGGGAGTCAGGTCCAAAATTGGTTTTCTATGACTTGAGGGGTGAGGGAGTTAAGATACAAGTCATGGCTAATGCTAGATATTATGAAGATGAATCCAAATTTGCAGATGATACAGGTAAGTGAAAAAATTTTATGTAAGTACTCTAATAAATAATACTTCTATATATTGAACTGAAAAAACAACTGGATTTCTGAAAATAATACAGTCATTGAAAATAATTATTTGTATATATGACCTTACAACTTCAAAAGTACTTCAACATGGAATAGAATCCTAAACATTTACAACACAAGCATATCAACAAAGTTTCCCAATGTGTTGAATTGTATAATGATAAAGATAAAGTAGAAAATCTTACTTTTATACAATCTTCCAAAAGCAACATGATATAATGACTATCAGGGAGTTAGTGGAGCCTGTGTTGACGACACAGGTTCCCTGCCAACACAGCAGAGGGAACAACTTAAGTGTCTTTTTAGATAGTATTAAGTAGGATGCATTATTTAATAATTTAAACATTGACTCTAGTGTTCAAAAGTTCTACAATATTCTTTAAACTGCTCTAAACCTTTTTGTCCCTAAATGTAATAAAACATTTTGAATTTCCAAATGATTTTCTTCTTATTTAAAAGGTTTAATTGTTAGATGAATAATTAGTCATTCAAAATCTTTACAAATAAAATTTGATACTGATTACAGTTATTTTCTAATCTTAGATCTAAATGTAAAATTTCAAAAATGTCAAAAAAGACTATATTAAGAATATTAGTAATAATCTGAGAGACAATCCAGCACATTTCTTCAGATATACAGGGTGGTTCTTAAGTAAATGTACAAAAAGAAACCACAGATTCTACATTTTAAAATATTACGATTTAAGCCAACTTGTTTAATAAAATGTTGCTATTAAAAAAGATACAGGGTGTTAAAGTGGAGATTTAAAATTTTATTTTTCACTATAACTTTCATGTTTGTAAACATTTATATATAACAATTGA